TTCCAATCAGTTATAGGCAGAAGACGGACTTCCAAGCTTTCTGTAGTGATATTTCTGGCTATTCCTTTCTATCCTCCTTAAGTGTCTATTTTATAATTGTATGCCAGGGAAACCAAGATTCAAAGGACAGCCAAGGATCTTAACATTATTTTCCCCCTTTTCCCCATTCCAACTATGTCTCAATCCCTGTATCCCAGAGCCCTGTTGTTGCAAGGTTGTGCATACATTATTACTTACCTTAGTCCCACTTAGCCCATGCAAACCTGCTTAATTGTTTCCCTATCTGCTTTGATCTTTCATTCCCCTCCCCCTTTTTGTCTAGTGCCCCCCTCTCCAGCACCCAAACTATTCTGTGTCTATTCCCTGCCCTGTGCTCCACCTTCCCCTCCCTTCCCTCACCTCACCCCCCACATTCCAGTAACCAGCAAAGAATCCCCCCCCCCTTTAGTATGGGTTCTTTTTCTTCAGTCTTTTACAGTGGTGGTCTGATGCAGTATTTCTCCTTTTGTGACTGACTAATTTCACTAAACATAATGTCCTCAAGGTTCATCCATGTTATGCAGTGGCTTGCAGCTTTCTTGTTAATCTTCAAAGTAGCATAATATTCCATTGTGTGTATGTACTACAGTTTGTTTATCCATTCTTCATTTCGTAGGCACTTTGGTTGTCTCCATCTTTTAGCTATTGTAAATAGTGCTGCTGTGGTGTGCATATATCTACTTGTTTATGGCTCGTATTTCTTGTGGGTAAATACCAAGTAGAGGAATTGCTAGATCCTAAGGTATTTCAGTTTCCAACCTTCTGAGGAAGTGCCATATTGCTTTCCAGAGAGGTTGGATCATTTTGCAATCCCACCAGCAATGCATAAACATTTATTGTCTTCTACTTTTTTGATCTTTGCTGTTATTGCTGGTGTGAGATGATATATCACTCACTGTTGTTTTCATTTGCATCTCTCTAATGGCTAGTGATTGTGAACATGTCTTCATATATTTGTTGGCTGCCTGGATGTCCTCCTTGGTGAAGCGTCTGTTCATGGCCTGTGCCCATTTTTTAATTGGGTTATTTGTCTTTTTCTTGTAGAGATGTTGCAGTTTCCT